GGCTACAGAAAGAGTAAAATTGTGTAGGCCTAACTTTCTTTTCTCAAATTAAAGAAACTTATCTTCAAACATAAAAGGACCGGCATGGCCAGGTGGTTAAGGCACTCGACTCGCAATCTGAGGGTCGCGGGTTCGAATCCCCGTCACACCAAACATGCTCGCCCTTTCAGCCGTGGGGGCGTTATAATGTGACGGTCAATCCCACTATTTGTTGGTAAATTAGTAGCCCAAGAGTTGGCGGTGGGTGGTGACGACTAGCTGCCTTCCCTCTAGTCTTACACTGCTAAATTAGGGACGGCTAGCGCAGATAGCCCTCGTGTAGCTTTGCGCGAAATAAAAAAAACAAAAACAAACAAACATAAAAATATTTGTTATGGGAAATTTTCCTAACCAAGAAGTTTTTAAATATCTTCACTTCAATACTTAAAGAAAACTATAAAATAAAATAAGCCTAATGATTTGTTTGATTGTTTGTTTGTAGTTAAGCACAAAGCTACACAAAGGTATATCTATGCTCTGCCCACCGCGGGTATAGAAACCCAGTTTCTAGCGTTGTAAGTCCGCAGACATACTGCTGTGCCACTGGGGGGGGCGAGCCTAATGAAGAACAGTAACTAACAACTACAGTTAAAAATAACGCGTATAAAAGACGTAACAGACAAATACATAAATAAATGTTGCGTATAAAATATTTCATTTGTTTTCTTCCATTTTTTTTATGTTAAACAAGTCAATGCTTTTTCTTTTTCATCTTCTTTAGAAACTTAACACCACCATTTAACATAGACAACTAAAAATATATAGAAAATAAGCATTTTAATAAAGTTATTTAATAAAATTTCAACTTGAGTACTTTAATACATAAATGCTTTCCACTTCAAGGTTTGCTTTACGTTGAAAAAACATTCCTCTGATGAATACAAAATAAAAACACAATCTTGCAGCATGCTGAATCTTAAGCAAGCAAAGAAATCGTCAAAAAGAAAAATTGTAAGTTTTTGTCACTGAATATTAAAGTACCTAATAAGTTAATGAATCTTCATAAAAAATTATGGTTTATCAGTATAATATTTATTTAATTGGGTATAAATATAACCTGGAAATATCATGTTTTGCAGCTTTTGTGCATTTTCTGCGGAAATGAGTGAATACTTCGTAAAAGACATGGTTTGAAGTTATCAAGCTGACTGACCCAAAGATTTTAGCTCATTGCTCAGTGTGTGCTGCTTCCTACAAAAACATTCCTCCTTATTCACTATATAAATTTGTAAATGGGGTCTTCAATTTTTGAAGATAACTATGATTTCAATACGTAACAGAGAATTAAAACTTTAAACAATGACCCTTTATCTCTTAGCATCCAACGTAAGGAAAAAATTCAAAGGTACCTAAGAGAACTAAAGAACAAAATATTATATCTGAAAATGTTGCTTCTTCGCTTTTTCCAACTGGTTTCCGTCCTGGTATGTTATACGGCCTTCCCAAAATTCGTAAAACAGGTTCCTCCTCCAACCCATTCTTTCCACTATAGGCACACCTAGTTACAAACTTGCTAAATTCCTTGTACTTATACTTCAGCCACTCACTACTAATGAATATACTATCTCGGATTCCTTCCACTTTGAACGTGAACTAAGTCAACTACCCCCCTCAGATAATCTCTCCATGGCGAGCTTTGATGTTACCTCCCTCTTTACAAATATTCCTCTAAATGAAACTATTAATATATGTATATCTGAGCTTTCAAGTAATAACATTCCTCTAAATGACTTTTCTGAAAATCAAATTAAGACCATGCTGGATCTTACCACCAAGAATTCACGTTTCTTGTTCAAGAACACCTTGTATGAACAAATAGATGGCGTTGCGATGGGCTCCCCACTGAGTCCAACTTCAGCTAATGCATTTCTCTCTTATTACGAACAGAAATGGCTTAGTACCTGCCCTGTTGACTTTAGGCATGTTCTGTACAGAAGGTATGTGGATGACACTTTTATTTTTTTAATAATAGTGATTAATGCTCAAAATTTTTAGATTACCTTAACTCACAACATCCTGCCATTAAATTTACATGTGAGTTTGAGAATAATAATGATTTAGCTTTTTTAAACATACTCATTAACCGTAATGCTAATAGATTTTCCACACCAATTTACCGAAAAAAGACGTCCACTGGTCTCCTTACACATATTGATAGCTTTATCCCGTTTACGTATAAACGAAACCTTGTTACATGCTTACTAAACAGAGCTTACAACCTGTGCTCCACATATCTTAATCTACACTCTGAAATTTAGTTCTTACATGATATTCTGAAACGTAACTGCTGCCCACAACACTTATTAGAAAACATTACCAACACTTTTCTAACGAAGAAACTCACAAACTAAGATATCAACTGTACCCAAACTTAATATATACTCATGTCTTCGCTACACTGGTAAACAAAGCTTAACTTTAAAAAATCAACTTAAACGCATACTTTGTTGTTACTACCCTCAAGTGGATTTCAGATTAGTTTTAAAATCCACATCACGCATACAAAATTTTTTCCCTAGTAAAATCTCCCCCCCCCCCCCCATTCCTTATTGTTCCTGGCTTATCTATTTTTACACGTGTGGAGACTGTAAGGCCTCCTATATTGGCAAAACCAAACGACATTTAAAAGTCAGAGCCTATGAACATATGGAAATTTCCATCAAAACATAAAAAAAAATTGAGTAACCCTTGTGTTTCCTCTATACGCCAACAGAGTAAATAAACAGGACATCGACTTATGCTATCAAATTTTTCTATTTTTTACAAGTTTAATACTGATCTGAAATTATTGATTAAAGAAACCCTTCACATCAAACAGCATTCTCTAACACTGAACAACGTGCAGTCTTCATTTAAAGTATACATTTTTTAACATGTTCGTATTACTGATTTTACTTTTTTTGTTGTGTTTTCTTGCTGTAGTTTCTCCTCATGATTAATGTTTCGTGTTTTATTTGTTTAATTATCGTTAAATTTAGCATTTTTACTTTAACATTGTCCAAAGACTTATGTATCTTATGTAAATTCATTTTATTTTGCTTTAGATACTGAAGATGGAATCTGATAGAATTCCGAAACGTTTTCCTATGTCCCCTTTTTGTTAATAAACAATGCTGTATATGATAAGTGTCGTAATCTTGTTTATAATCAAACTTCGTTTTTCTTCGAACCCATCGAATTAAAAGAACATTTAAGATAAAGTTTTGTCTTTATGTCTGTTGAAAAATAATGAACTTTGAGATAAAGGTTTTTTTAGATATTGATTAACAATCATGAACTTTATTTATATAAAAACCTTTATTTATATCAATTGAAATATCATGAATTTTACACATTTCAAAACAAAGTCCCACGATGAGTTGTATTTTATGCATACATTGCATTGCTATGAAACATATATTATATAGTTGCAAAGTAAAAATCACTTGCTTTTGTTTTCCAAGATTAATATTTCATAAAATTGAAACAACTGTTATATACAATTCTCTGGTTGTAATGGGGCTGATATTGATAATGAAAATTACAAATTTCAATTTTATAAGCTTAGATAGTTATTTATTTTGATAAGTTAAATAAGTTATTATTGTAGGGGTTTTGAATTTGTAAAATATTAAAATAAAAAAAATGAAAGTAGACATTTTCTGGTCTTTCACTGTAATTCATTGAACATAAGAAACATTATAAGTATGAACACATATGACACCTTCAATAAATAAAATATAATCATTTATAACGTGAAAGATATATTAATTATAATGATTACAAAAATGTGTGTCTCTAATTAAAACATAACTGTGTTTTCGTTTGAGATGTGGTGTTTTGTTTTATATCTAATAATAAAACACTCAAAATAAATATGTCTCAAAGTAAAACGTATTTGAATTCAAGGATAAATGAAAAACATCTTTACTGTCTTATATTGAGACGTGTTCTATAATAACTCCTTTCTGTTAACTTGTTTTGCTTGTATTATAACAAAATTACATTGGGCTATTTGCTGTGTCTATCGCAGAAAATCGAACCCCGAATTTAAGAATTGTAAGTACGTCGGTTTATCGCTGTCCCACCGGGTGCCTTTTCTGATGAAACACAATACCTTAATTTCAGATATGATTTGTGTCTTACGTTTTCATAGTGAGGTGCTGAGTCTGTTAACTTGGTTGAGCTGAGATGTCATGAAAGCTTTTTATGGTGACTTGTTTTGCTTTTCCGGACACAGATTCTTCTTAATTATGTTGCGAACTGCAGCTTGAGGCACGTGGACTGCTTTACCACTGACTTTTGTGTTCTGGATTCTCACCTGTTACAAGACTCTGCTCTTTCCTTCTCACAGATGGAGTACGACTTGTTGTAGGTCTCTTTCTTAATGGTCCTGGTACCCCAAGTTGTTCCATGTTCAGTTTTGTTTTCCAATATCATTAAGTACAAGGGTTTCCCCACATTGGAAATTATAAATCCTTGACCGGAGCACATCTTTATAATCTCAGTGTGTGAATATTTAGAGTAAGAATGTGCTGTTACAAAGTCTTCCCAAAAGCGATCAATTTTCAGTGGCATCAAACCACCTTCGAAAATTGAAATAAAGTAAAAATGTAATTCTTATACTTGCCTTACCGCCGCGACTTAATGTCGGCTGTGGTTTTAAAGTAACTTGATGATTTGCATATTAAAAGCGTTTTAATATAAAATACCCTATATGATTATTATATTCATTCGATTCAAAACAGTGTAATTTCTCAATAATACTAAACATCAGTTCTTTGATAGGAAAGAGAACTTTTTCTTCTTTCTGATGAGTCATAATTTCCTCTCGAGACACTTAACATTAAATAAGTTTTAAAAAGTGCATAGGCTAGCTTTTTTGATGTGTCAAAATTAAGTTTCTAATTACATTTGTTAATAACGATAAATTTCAGTAGTGTTAAATACAGCTATTTCTCTGTCGCTTTTTCATTTAATAGCAATTGGAACTGATGGGAAAATGAGAATTTGAGTCCAGTCAACTTAGTTTATATATGGCAGTATTCGAAGCTATTAGAAGAATGAACCAATATTTTGTTAACAAAGAATTGTCTTTACCTGTTGATTTATGGTGACAACAATTTTGGTTTGATTATAAAAACAAAATTGCTTTTCTGGGTTGGTCAATGTGTTGTTGAATTAAAATTTAACAGTGTCCGAAAATTCTGGAACCATAGGCACTTCAATGAATTTTACAGAATGTCATCCACATGTTGTTCTTATAATTCGACAAAAGTTTGAACTAACAGCAGGATTAACTTGCCATTCTCGTGCTTTGAAAGCGTATAATCAGTCACATATCTGAAATTACATGTTACTTCCCACGTATAAACAACTACTAAATAATGTATTGGTACTGTAAACTTTGCAAAGAAAATGTTATATTAGTGATTGAATTACTAGAAGTTATCGACGCGATATTTAGCGTGTAATAATGGTCAATGCATTTAATATTATAATTCTTTTAAAATTATTAATAAGTTGAATATTTGTCTACAGCATATTAAAATTTCTTCTTGAACATATTTCAAATCTACTAAAAGTAGCCTCCAGTGGCACAGCGGTTGGTCTGCGGACTTACAACGCTAGAATCCGGATTTCGATACCCGTGATGAGCAGAGCACAGATAGCCCATTGTGTAGCTTTGTGTTTAATTACAAACAAACAAACAGTACTAAAAGTATCGATCATTGTGACGTTCCTACCTATAAGTATTATCATTTTCAGAGAATAAGTTAAAGTGCAATAGGATCTCTGCTACATAGAACATCAAGTTTTAGCATTATAAGCATTACCACTGATTTAAGAATTAATAGTATATACATGTTTTGTAGGCAGAGTCGTCGCTAGGTGCTTAAAAGATTCGGGACTCGGGCCCATAAGCGCAGGAAGTTTTGGCGTTTCAATATGAATTCGATCATGATTTTTCTATTCTGATTTATTCAAGACACCAACTGGCAATTCGGGGCACGTTCCTAGCGACACCTCTGTTTCTAGGAATAATAAGTTCCTATATTAAAAATAATAGTCATTACAGGACTGTGTAAAGATAATTTATTTCTGTTTTTCAATCACGAATATAATTCTTCTTCTCCAATTTTGTTCTTAATTTTCATATTTCTTATTGAAATATTGTTAAATCAAAAGAAAAACATTTTTATTACAAATAGTGTTACATCAACAAAGAAAGGTTTTTAACATACTTTTATTCAGTATACGTTCATATTCCAGTTAGAAAAAATAAGCTAGTTAAATTACTCATAATTATTCATAAATTAATATGAAATTGATAAATCTAAAATAACTTATCCGTTGCTTCATTATATTAGGAAATTTTTAATTTTGTTTATATTCTATTCGATTCTGAAAAGATAAACGTAAACGATTACATATATAGAATAAAACTATTAGAATTAACGTAGCAATGTTTGAATACTTCTAAGTTTTTGTTTGGTGTATTTAGCTCATTTCACTGTTTTGTAATTTAATTTGAAAAATTCCACTACACCTGTTTGCCAGAGTTATCTCATTCTCGATATTTCATTAAGCACTGCAGAATATTCGATTAGAATCGCGTTATCACAATTTACATTATTAAATGTTAAAAAAAATTAGATTTATTGTTGTATGTCGAAAAATCTTAGAAAGGAGTTGAAATATTCATACCTAATATAATACAATGCATTATTTTTCCAATATAATGTGTATTAAATATTCTGTAATAACGCATTGATTTTTGTTGTTATCTGTTTATTTCTGCATTTAAAAAAAAGAGGGTAGATAATACAACTGAGAAAATAAAGTTATTTGTGAATTATAACTCCAATTTTTAGATAATTATTTATCTTATAATTTAGTAATGTACAGTACTCAGTTTAAAAATGAAACGAAATATCACCTTTACAGTTGCTACAGTAGGTATGTCTGCGGACTTACAACGCTAAAAACCGGGTTTAGATACCCGTGGTGGGCATAAAACAGATAGCCGATTGTGTAACTTTGTACTTAACTTCTAATAAACAATGCTATAGCAAAATTCGTGCTTTTCATTTTTTTTTTAAATTGAGAATATCAGAAATGACAAAATTTTTTATTTTACTACTCTGCATATTCAGTTCTGGGTGCATATTAAACGTGAGAGTCGTTTCCGTTATTCGGTTGAAAGAGATGGACGAAACACTACTGGCAACGAGTATTCCTGTCTAGTGTCTCTCTCCCTGTGATCAGTAGTTTACAATTAAAAACGGCTACACCTGAACTGTAGGAATCTTTAATCTTGGCGCCTCCTGCTGGCTGTGATTATACCTGAGGGCTTATAACATTAAAAATGGGTTTCGATATCCTCGATGGGAAGAGCACAGATAGCCCATTGTGTAGCTTTATGCAACAAACAAAGTCTAAATTGAATCATTTATAATATGTGAGCACTATATATCTTTCATGTTGAAAATCACAATTCTATTTTCATATATTGCATGAATGTCATAGATTTGTCAGTTAGAACTCCTTTACTTTCGTTTATTCACGTGGACTTCTGACTACTCTGTGTCTTTCATTTTTAAGGAGCTGGGCATTTTAAAGATGAAAGATCTTGTGGAACATTTATGATTTTGTTCTAGAGATGATCAGCATTTAGGACTACATGCTGCATTTCTTTTCAAGATAAAACACTCCTCTTTCCTTTTTTTCGCCCCCCAGTGGCACAGCGGTATGTCTGCGGACTTACAAGACTAGAAACTGAGTTTCAATACCCGTGGTGGAAAGAGCACAGCTAGCCCATTGTGTAGGTTTGCCCTTAACTACAACCAAGCAAACCTTTAATTTTTATATCTATAATTAACCATAAATTCTTTAAGTAGCAAAAAGTAGAACAATGTAACAATATAGATTCAGCCAGTAGTAAAATATTTACCTGACCAGCATATATATGTGTGTGTATATATATATATATACATTTCATTGGCACATGTTTCATGACAAAGATATACAATATTACGATTTTCTCTAAAAATATACTTTGACTCAATTTAAATTATTCAATGTGTAAGCTGCTCAATAGATATTTGAATAACATTAACATACGATACTCTTGTTCAGTTAGCAAGAAACAAACAGTAAACTCTTTAGTGTGACCTAGTTTTGATAAAGTTAAATACCGTTATTTCAGTAGGCTTCATCATAAATGGGAAGTATAACACTTTATCTACGCAGGTGGTGGTCTTTATTAGTGTACTCTAGCCGTCCCTTGATCCATGACTATTTTATTCTTCTTCTTCGGATTTTTGTTTATCTGATATGCTGGTGACAATAAATATGTCGGCTTAAAACGTTGTACAAACGTTAAGATCTTTTGTGAATGTCTGCTCGTTCGTCTGGAAAACAGGACAAAGTTTGCTAAAAACACAATGACGAATACGACAGTTTGGGTTTCTCCCTGGGGCGACAATTCACGAATCTTGAGAAAAAGCACAAGTCTGTTACTGGCAGAACGAGCCCACGAGCCACGCAAAGAGCCTGCACGCGCACGGTTTGCAGTGGCACCATCTCCTGCCTTGTAATTGCTAGGGAAGGAACTGTTATCGGTTACATCGACTATACAATAGTTCATGTGAATGGACAGTAATTATTTCACAAAGTGCCTCAGGGTTTCAAGTTGTAAAGTAGGACAGTTAATAATAACACATTTACACACGAACATCGTCTACACAAAACACTGAAAATATAGTAAAACTATCTGTTAGCATATAAATTATTTTTCGGTCTACCACTACGGTTTATATCTACTTGTATATGTTTTTCTGGTTATCTATCTGTACGTTTATCTATTTATTTGCTTGACTATTTATGCTGATATTTTTGAGATAGCAGCTGTTACCCAATTTGTTTACACTTGTATAGTTAAATGGAGTCAAATAGCTGACATTTTTTTCCACAAAAAGAATGCAAAAATAATACTGGTTTAAGGCACTTACAAAATTCATTATATCAGAAAGTTCCAGTTAAGTTTCAAAATGGGGTAAATTTTTTTCACATATCGCAAAATGTTCATCTATATTAAAAGTACTCAGAATTTACTGATACTTTATTATCACACAAGTGACTCATTTATCATGATAACTGCTTTTTTTCTGATTCAACAAATATAAAAATGGCATTTCATAAACACGTAGAAGAACTATTATATACAGCTCCAAACACAACAACAATAACAATAAATTAATGAAGACTTTAATGCTTGTCATTTTCTCCCCATATTTCGTGAAGTAAAAAATTGAGGAGGAAATTAAACTTCTTACTTTTATTTTAACGAAGTAACTTTCTATCTAAATGCGTATGAAAGTTGTTAGGAAAATCAGGTGGTTATTCTAAACGTTTGGCCCATGGCCAGGTGGTTATGGCGCTTCACTCGTAATCTGAGAGTCGCGAGTTCCCATCCAACCAAACATCCTCACCCTTTCAGCCGTGGTGACGTTATAATGTACAGTCAATCCTACTATTCGTTGATAAAAGAGTAACTCAAGAGTTGGCGGTAAATGGTAATGACTAGCTGCCTTCCCTCTTGTCTTACACTGCTAAATTAGGGACGGCTAGCGCAGACACCTCTCGTGTAGCTTTGCGCGAAACTTCAAAGAAACCTAAACGTTTTACCGATATCACGGGAGAATAACGAGAAAAAAAAGAGTATTGGTTACTTGTAGCAGCCAGGTACTCTTCTGCTTTGGTTTTAACCAGTATAATGTTGATATTAGATTTAAACATATGAATAATACTGTTTTTGAAACTACCTAAGTGTCTAAAATCTCTAAAAAAAAAGTACCTACTGATAGAATCTCAACGGTATAATTAGAGAGTCTAGACTATTTAAAAGAGGTGATGTATGAAGAGGTTAGCAGTTCTACTTGCTTTATTTAAATATTGTTTTGTTTCTTATTCTGCTGATAAAGCACTCTCTCATGGAATGAAGAATTATAAATCAATCATTCAGTCTACCTATCTAACAACTGTTACCAACTGTGTTTATTATATCATGAATGAATAGAAGGAAATGGGTTACTTTCTTCTTTTGAATTTGTAAAAGAGAGAAAATAATCCGACTGAGAAAATTGTTATTTAAAACAAGTCTATTTTAAGCTTTTCCTGAATCATAATTTCAGTATTAAATATAAAATGTTTTTATTAAAATGTGTAATACATATGTATATATATATATATCTTACTATTAAAATGATCCATTATTTGTATGTGTGTGTGTTAACATCCATCATCCAGAGTTAGCTTGCTCGATTATCGTGAAAACTACCAGACAATGTATATAGGCTAGTTTGTTTTAGTATTTTTGCACAAAAATGAGGATAAAAACACCCTTTTTTGTAAATATTTGGCTTTGAATTGAAAGACACAAGTACTTAAACACTTACATGAGTCAATTATTACCTCTTACAAAGCAGGATATGCAATTATGATCTAATGAGGACATTAGGGATGTAATAATACAAGAAAGTAGGGAACTTTATCTAACATTGTCCTTTATACAATTTTACCTCTTTAACGAGTACCCTCAGTTAATATGTATAATATATATATAACCTTCGCCATCATGCAACATAAAACAGTGGCTATCAATATCCGCAATCAGTGTTTCGTTCATAAATGTGTTCTAAATGAAACCTACTATCTCATATTGTGGTTGTCATCGGATAAATAACGACACCAAACAGATTAATTCAACATCCAAAAGCACTGTTTTATTCCTCTTTGATCAATTAAAACTTGCAGCTTTTAAAACAAAGATCTATTGTTGTGTTTGTTGTTGTTGTTTTTTGTAATGTGCATTGTTATTGTACTGGAAAAAATAATTTTAGGAAATATCCGACATTTACATTTTTTATGATATTTTTATGTAAATGCATTTTCATTAAGTTAAATTCTTTAAGTGTAAAATTAAAATCAATTTACTTTATTCACCAAGCATAAGCATCTCACAGATCACTTATTAAAGTGATTAGTTCATTGTTAGTGCCCATAGTTTGATGAACTTTTTTAAATGTATTTTTATGCACTTTTATGGCAGGTTAATATTCTTATTACAGCGAATTTCACGTTGATGGCCATGATGATATTTCTTGCCCTTTGCAGTTAGTTCTCAGTTACGTAGGTAGCTTGCTTTAATCAGAAATTAATAGGAATAGAACGTTGAAAGTGCAATCTGAACAAATCCAGTAGAAATTAAAATTTCGTAATGGTTTTTCTGTATGAGGGTGAAGTTCATTGATGTTTTATTTTTTCTTTAACGACGTGAATTTTCATCAAAACATTTGTTTCAGAAGTTTCTTTCAAATAGGTAGATGTGTAATGTTTCAAATTTTGTAGTTTTTTTTTTGGGGGGGGGGAAGAATATGGAGTTTACACATAACACGTGGTCCAGAAAACTGGTGACTTCATTCTAACTGCCTTCGTTCCTTTGTTATTTTTTGGAGATAATACTTGCTACCCCGCAGAGGATATTGGTATAACACTGAACATTGTGCAACAACACTGACGCCACTAGTGTCCTCCATTGGTAGGTCAGACGATACATAGAGGTTATCGCTTCCCTTATTTTGAATGAAAATTATTAGTCACATGGATAGCGTTAGTTGCTAATAGGTAAATTCGACATTTCCCTTTAAGTAAGAAACGTAAGATTTAAACAGTCTACACAGGACCTCAAGTCAATTGTTGATGTAAAAACAATCTATCAATTCACAAGTCCAGTAGCAAGTGACCTTCCAGTGTTCTAATACGAGTTCATACACACACTGTATAACACACCTTGTCCAGTCTGTTTATTTCTTTCCTTCAACTCGGTTAGTGTCGTCCAATTCAGACTTACTTCGTACAATATTCTGCCAATCCTCCTGCTATAAAGTGAACATATCTAATACTCTTGAGGGAATCAGTTTAATCTGAGAATACCAAAAGATTTGTAGGAAGGAGGTATTTTGGTGCCATGACCACGGACTGTGTGAATGCAAAGTTTTCTGTTTCTACTAATGTGTGTATTTCCTTTACTTGAACTCAGGAGTTAACAAATATAATTAAAGATATTAGCCTATGTTACTGGATATGTTTAAATATGAAAATTTAGAGCGAAATTCTTATATTATCATTACAATAAAATATATATATTTCCTATTTAACATTCAAAATGAATTATTATTTAGTAAAATATACTAGGATTTCTTATCACGTTAAAACTTTTGGTGTATTTAGTGTAAGTTATTGGCACCAGTGAGTGCTATATATGTTATAAACTTTAATACATAATGTTTTGATAAAACAAGCCACGTATACCATCTCTGGAAGAAATGAAACATATGTTAGGCTATGTAATATTGCAAGTAAGCGCATAACAATGAGATTCTAATTATAAAATGTCTTTAAGGCAGAAACTAATTAAATTAATCCTTTTTTCTAACGTGTAACAACAAAAGTGGTCGAAAGATACAAGTACTTTATTTGTTCCCAATCGTACACATTGAAAGGATTTTAATCTTGTCATTTTCTTTTAATATTTTATACGACTTTTTCCTTTCAATTGCAATACAGTTCTAAACTTACAATGTCTAGAATAAAAACTGTTTGCATATGAAGTTACAATAAATTTAAAAGCATAAACACATTTTACTGGTGTTGTTTACTTTAGCATTGATAGAAATGTTGCCATTCACACCAGGCCAAACTAATCCAACCAGTAGGCTATATTTTCTCACTAAGCACTCCAGTGAAATATAGATAGAGCTCACTGAATGGCTTGTTTGTTTGTTTGTTTTGAAGTTAAGCACAAAGCTACACAATGGGCTATCTGTGCTCTGCCCATCACGGATATCGAAACCCGGCTTCTAGCGTTGTAAGTCCGTAGACGTTCCGCTGTGCCACTGGGGGGGGGGGGAGCACACTGACTGATACCAGTAGCATATCCTTTGATGGGCTACAGTTTAAAATTAAAGAATAATACTTTTACAAAGCCTTCAATAGGCAGTAGTTTACTGGACAATGTGTGTATACCAATATCAAAGCTTTCGACGGAACACGGTTTATCGCACAACGATTATACTTTCTGTTATAGAATTATTCAGAAATTATAATTTATTATTGAAATATAGTAAGTTTAATGTGCTGAAAATCTGTAATGGTTCCATTTAATCAAAACCAATAGAAAACTCCAAAACTAAAATTACGTAGCGGATTTGGATGTTTTAAAAATAATATATCGTTGTAGTTTTTTTAAGAGCAAAGCTACACAAAGGGCTGTCTGTACTCTGTCCGCCGCGGGGAATCGAACCCCAGATTTCACTGTTATAAGTTAAGATTTAGCTAGAGAAATCTCAGATCGGAAGATAGTCACAATGAATATGTATGTATTATTTTTATCGGGAGCTACACTGTAAGTACCCTGACATAATAAAATGAGCTGTCTTGTCATAGAGTTGATATCAATGACATCAACCTGCAATACAAAACAAGTATATAACTAAGCAGAAACAGACCTATCAGTGTGTGATTGTTTTATTTTTTCCATGTTCGAAAGGATTTATGTTCAGTAGAGTTATGTATATCACGGGAGTGAGTATATTGGACAGTACCATTGGATTTGAAGGTGCTCATATTCACATACCAAGACACTGTATATAATTTTGTCCTTACTGATTAGTGATACATTACACTACAGTTTACCTTTTGTTCCTGAAACCAGCTCATGAATTATCCACACTTGGACAAAACTAGCCATTAAACACAATATT